ATATATATATATATATATATATATATATATATATATATGGGCAACCAAGTTAGTGCAAGTAAGTTAGTGAAAGTAAAAGTGAAGTTAGAGTGCATGCAAGTTTAGCCATAACAGGCGATTTCTAAAGTGAATTTCACAGCTTGTATTGTAATAACTGAGATAGAGGAGGATAATTTTTCTTGTCAAAGGGTGTTCTAAAGTAACTGAAACCACCTGTGTGGACTTTGATGAAAAGGAGACAATTATTTAAAGCTCTGAATACAGCTGTGGTAATCAACAGTTCATTTGGTTATTTTAAAGTGAGTATCACAGCCTTGTATTGTAATAACAGAATAGAGGAGAATAATTTGTTTTGTGAAAGGGTGTTCTAAAGTAATTGAACCTACATATATGGACTTTGACAAAAAAGTGATAATTATTTAGAGCTCTGGATACAACTGTGATAACCAATAGTGTAACGAATTTTTGTACATACATTTGACTTGTTTTGAATATATTCTTTTAAAATAAGTGGATTGTGTGCTGTCCATTTATTGTTGAAATTTAACACCAACAAGTCACAGACACCTACTGGCCCCTATAAAAACCTGACAACCAGATCAGGGGCTTAAGCAGAAATTTATAAAGTGGAGGGGGTGATACTCTTTGGAGGAATTGAGAAATGAGAGGCTAAGAGGCATTTGGGGTCATGCTCTCCAAAAATAAATTTGTAATTTTCACTGAAAATGGTACATCTTGATAGTACCTGAGGCTGTTTCTACAGCTTTTAAATATGTTTTATACATATATGGTTGCAGCTTCACCACTGCTTATAAGCATGCATGTGACACCTGACCAAAGTGCCCCTTTGCAGTATCACCTGACACAAAATGATGCTACGCATTTGGCCCTAAAAGCTATATCTCGCTGTACTTGGCATAGGGACCTCCAAATTTTAAATAAGTGGTCCTTTTCGACTCTGAAATCTGAGGCTTGGATTGTAATCTGAAAACTACTTAAGATTTCCCAACCTGTGATGGCTTTGTCGATAAGATCTCTGACTTCAGGATGTTTGTCATCAATGTCTGAACCTAAGTGTTCTGCTGTCACCCAGTTAAGGCTCCGAATCCTCTTTTGGATGGCTAGGTCCTTTTCCTCATCCTCTGTAGAAATTTGGCCAAACAAGACTTTGTAGAGTCGAGTCATCAGGTACTTTTCAGTAAAGTTCATCAGCTGTTCCACCTGGTCAGGACTTGCACCTATACATGGAATTACATTAATTAGACAAAATAATAATGATAAATTCTCCTCTTAACAACCACAAGAGCCTGTAGATGCTATTCACAAGAGTACTTTCTACATTCCCAATCAGTAAGTGAAGCCCAAGATTTTTCTATATCACGGGTTAGATTTAGAAAGAATGAGAACCACACAATATCATTACATTTATTGGAAATAATTTTGTGCTACCATGCATCGCAGATTTTCAACATGGGAACTATAACCCACAATGAACCCATTGCTACGTGTACGCACAATGCTTTGACTGGTATCTCAATCACTCTTCATCGGCCCAGTGATCTGACATGTGTGAACAATAACATTATCTTTGGTATTGCACAGCTCAATACAGTGGCATTGGAAGTGGGTTTCCATTTGTCTGCCTTATAATTTAAATATAAGTTATTTTACTTTAACTACAATACAATAGCCCTTACCACCAGACGATCAGCTATTCATCCATTTATATCCAAAACATTTTTGTTTTTTGCTTCAACTTCCCCTCATGTATCGTCCATTTTTTTCCACCTACAAAAAAAAAGCCACTACACCTGTTCTTCCACATACTAGGTCCTCGAATTTCCAACTATTTTTAACATCAAGTAGCTTTGTGATAGGTTAATCTTTGGAATATCCTAGCAGCAAAGCTTCCCGTATCAGGACAACATTTACTTTAAGAAAAAACTTCTGAACTTTGTTTTACTCGGTTACCTTGGAAAGCTGGATGAGTTTCAAATCTTTCCCCCACTGCTTGATAAAAGTCTTGAATAAGTTCCGATGCTTCATCGATAGACCGGTCTGTGTATTTCTGTACCCGATCTATCAGAACATGTATGTGTTTTTTCACATCTTGTGCCGCAGGCTCTCTAAGAGTCTTTAAGAACTCTCCAAAGTCTCTGTTAACCTTCTGGCTCTCAAAACTCATGTGACGTTGTTCCTTCCACCCTGAGTGTGCTGCTGCTTCTGCAATAATGATAAAAATCACATAAACGTTTTTAGTTGGATATGTTTCAGGCTATGTTACTTTTAAAACAAAAAACCAAGTTATCTTATGTCTCAAGTTCTGAATGTTTTAAAAGAAAAATATTTACTAAATACAATATTGTGAAAAGTGGCTTAATTCTTAACTTACTTGTAAATCAACTTAGATATGTAAAACCATTTGGTTACTACCCAAAAGGGTAAATGCTAAATGATAGGTAAAAAAAGTATACATATATTATCTTACAATTTACCAAGTGTTTAGAACGTCCTCCACAAGTAAGCAACACGCTAGTAAGGAGATCGTCAAGAAACAAAGTCTATATAATATTTCTACAACCTCTTTTAAATTATTTTAAATAGTCCAGTGTAGTTTTTAAATGACACGACTGGAAAACTAGAAAAGCTATAAAAACATTGCATCACGTTATAACCACATTATGATTTTTTTCTGAAGAAGTGAAAACTGAGACCGGACTCATGAACCTGCTCTTTAGGCAGATGTTTTCGGCCAACTGAACCAAAACTTGCATAATTCGAGAAATAGCAGCTGAGATGGTTGAAGCATCTGTTTGGTAACTAAAGCTTCACATTCAAATCATCATATCTTACATCCTTATTTTACAGGACAGTGTTCCATCTTCAAATTTACTTTGTAGTTGTAACTGCACACTAACATACTTGTGGTTCATCTGTATACAACTTTCTCTCACAGATAGTGTAGGGATGGTTTACGTAGATAAACAAAAACTATTTTGAAGTTTTAATTTTTAAAAAATCTCACAAATGAACAAGATAACCTTTCTCTCCACTAATAAATGAATAACACGCTTTACCTTTAAATGTGCTGGTTCTCTTGATAATGCTTTTTATTGTTTTGGCTCGTTTCTCAGACTGATGCCTTTTTTTCTCTTCAAACTTTGAAAAAGTAAGGAAAGAACTGTCTGGAGATTCCCCACTAGTCTGAGATGGTGACCTAAAAGTTCACTAATGTTACTTTATTTTTTAAAACTTTTCTTAAACGTGTTAGGCTTCAATTCATTTCTGAAAGCTAAAACATAAACCGACAGAAAATAAGCAAATACAGAATAATATTACACAATTAGTCCTAGTAAAGTCAGATCTTTAAGAAAAACTGTTTAACTCTATAGAATCATACTTTTTTTTTAGTTTTGCTTTATACAGGTCCAACTTTAAAGCTGCTACTTACATATATATATATCTAATAAAATTGGATTTATGTTAATTATACGATTTAAATCACGCAGTGTTGTGTCGCAAACTGTGTCTACATTAACAACTAAAATACGCTAAAATCTAGGTGTGTAATCACTGGTCTACCAACATGAAAGCTAAGAAGAAATTAAAATAAAAAGAGTACTTATGTGAGATATTGTGTGAAGTTTAAAAAATCTGAAGAGATCTGTCAAACAGTATACATATTTCAACAAACACGAAACCCTTTATATTACTGCCATTAATATAAATACGTGAAACAAACTGTCCATATTAAACTAAAAAATTTAAATAATTAAGTTAATACCAAAGTTTCTATAAGTGTGGCATATACAAGTTAATTAACATTAGAATAACACTAGTATTCCAACACTCGTCATAAATATTTTATTTTCAAAGATTGAAAACCTATTTTTTTTATAGTACTAAGCTATAACATTTTCCAAATAACATGATTACCAACAAACGTACGAGTACTATCTACAGAAATAAAGTTAAGTACAGAATAAAACACAGACAAAAATGGGCATTTGTTCTTTCAACATTGTTCTCGCACACCCACCCATGAAAGAAGTAAAATTCAAATTCACCCTTTCATTTTTAAGGAAATCATTAATTCATTTTCCTTTTAAACTTTTATAAAGTAACAACCTCCACTACTGCAAATACCAAACTTATTTCATAAGCCGATTTCACCGAGAGAAAAATAAAATCCACCTTAAATGAAGTCTAACATGTATTCTCCAAATTTCAGACTTATGTCCTCCCATTCTACTGTACTCAAAATATAGTACAAAAGAACATAGGCTTCCACAAAAATTTCTCGGGGAGGGGAGGGGAGTCAAAATCTAAAGCAACATAATATAAAAATACTTAATAAATAAAAAAAAAGAAAATATGTTTCTCATTTTCCAGGAGGGCAAGTCCTCCCTTGCTCCCTGCAGACACCCATGCAAAAGAAGTATTTTTCTGTTGATCCCCTGAATAATTTTATAAACTTCAACCTTTTACCCTTCTTTTCAAGAGATTTTAGTACATCTTCATACATTAACCCTTCCACCTCCAGAATCATTCTAGCAGCCCTTCCTCGAAATCATTCCCAATAAATCAGCATCTTTTCTTAGATATAGAGACTAAAAATATACACAATAGTCTACATCAGGCCTAGCTAGTAATTTGTATAGAGATAATTACCTTTCTCACCACAATATTACAGCATTCACAAATTTCAGCATTTTACACAAATAAACACACCCTTTTCAAGCATCTTCTTAACTACGAAGGATATACAACAGCTCAAAATACTGTACAAGTTTTGAGTTGATCAAGCCATGCAATTTTAGAGACTACGAAAACTTTTTACAACTGTAATTTTTCTATAAAATAATTTAAATGTGAGAGGTAAACAATAATAAAATATATCTGGACATTTTTCTTATGTAACTAGTTTCTTAACTCCGTTTAATGATAAAAATTGATAAGTCTTAATAACAACTAATTTAACCTATGCTTTGGAGTTTCTAGGTTTCGCACGTTATTTTCCTTAATTCAGATTTTCACTGCAAACATAATGAGGGAAAGGCTAGAAAAATAAAATGTATACAGCAAGTGGCACTAAAAGAAGTAAATAATTAAATATGCCCCTAAGGCTCACATCATTCTCGAGAACATAATTATATTCACTAGAGGTAATACTATCAGGAAGATTACCTTTTCTCGAGAATTGTTTTTTTTTCATTTAATCCATGCAATATGTTCACTTCCATTAGTCTTAACTAAAGGAATACAGATGGATCATGCATTCCTGATATGGAAAGTCAATTAAAAAAGATGAAATTCCTCAAGCAAAGTTAAATTCCTTGGGAATGCAAGAATGTACTATTTCAATCCTAATATCATTTTCTCATGGAAACCCACCTACTCGTTGGTTCTCTTCATTGTACACAATGTAAGTATTACCTCTGATAACAAAAGAAAGAACAAATTACTGTAACGCATGAAACGAATATTCTAACCTTCTAGAGTACTTTGATTTAAGTTCTGGTACATTAGAGTGCTTCGATTTTTGATACAGTTCCTTGTGACACTTGGAGCAGTAACCTTGCCATGCTGGGTTACCATAGAAACCACATCCATTCTTACACAAGAGGTCTGATTCTGGTATATGAAGAAGGTTAGCTCTTCTAAACCTGTGGGCTGGTTCTGACTTTGATGACATGGTGCTTCAGCAGTCTGGTTTGTTGAATGGTAACTTTGAGTCCTAAGTCAGAAAAAAACAAAAATTGTGAACAATTACAGTTGTAGGATCTGTTTTTAATATTATAATTTAGATGTTTGTACTGTTTTCTAGAGGGAGTTTTGGCATGATGTAGTGATGACATGCGACACCTTAAAATTTCTTAAGTGTTTGGATTTGATGCGGATCTCAAATTTTTGTGAATATTGGGGAAAAATAAATATGATAATACAAAAAACATGAATAAGTCAATTAGACAGTTTTGTGTCATAGATGCAAGGAGAAACTTAACAAATTGATGGCTGTTAAGTTATATTTGGAAGTTAAGCCTATCGCTTGGCGATCATTAGGTCATAAAACCTTGCAACTTGTAAAAGTTTCAGGGAGAAAATAAAATGGTTTACTTTTGTTAAATGAACTGGATATTACATTATTTTTGCCAGCATTTTTTTAATCAAAGAAAATCCACCCAACAAAAGAAATCATAACTAGAACATACATATTTAAAAATGGGCAAAAAGAGACCAGTGGTAATCTTTATTTGCTTATTTTTCATGGAAGTAAAAAAAAAACAAGTAAATATTACCGACATCTCTCTCATGGCTCATCTTTTAATTAAATTAATCATTAACAATTACCATTCAAAAGTTATCTCTCACTATACATATATCTATTTTATGGGTTGGTAAATTTTTTTCAACTATTGCGTAAGCATACATTTAACTAATGCTTAAAATATTACACTACTTTTACAAACATTTTATATTAATAGCAACGTGTGTTATATGTACTGTTTGTTTCTTGGAAACTTTCACTTCCTTTATCAGTTTAATTTACTTGACACGTATATATAATAATATCCATTTATAAGTTTTCTCTCTGTTCAAGTTCCACATGTGTTTGTTATTTAACAAAATTAATAAATCATATATAGCAGATATAGATTGTTTTAACTAAATGAAAATATTTATAAAACTCACTAAACTGTATGCATCTGAAACTTAACAAGAAATAGCCCCTACTTTAATCCACACTAGCAGCCTTTAAGATTTACAAATTCAATAGCTTTCAAACTTTGAAAATATATTTAAAAAGGTTTTCCTGTTCCCTGATTTTTGTTTTTTCCTAGTTAAGCACAAAGCTACACATTGGGCTATCTGTGGTGTGCTCACTACAGAAATCAAAACTCAATTTTTAGTGTTATAAGTCTGCAGACTTACTGTTGAGCCACTGGATATAGATAGAATTGATGTATCATCTTTTTGTGTGTGTGTGTTTAATGGTTAGAGTGGTAGGACTAAAAAGACATAAATTAAAGATTTGGCATGGTAATAGTCATCTACAAATTAGTCACATATTGTTCAAACAGGGTGGGGATCATTTGGAATAGACAGCTTTCAGACATGGTAAATGCAAAAGGATTGTGAGAGTTCAAAACAGTTGTTATTAAGAAGTTCAGATGTGTTTTAAATGTATAAATTTTATTCCTTAAGTTCTATGTATTTCTTTAGTTTTAATGTATTCTTCAAATATATTTATAATAGCTATTTCTAATTACTTGTTAGTAAGTTCATAACTTCATTGCTATTTAAATCTTTATACAAGTTCAGTAAACAGGATGTTTTATACTGTTACAGATGTATTTACATATTAAATAGCTGTCTGATGATGCAATGAATGTTATTTTACAATAAAGTTTGGGTTGGGAAACAGGGATGCCTTTCACTTTCTCTTACTTAAATATTCAAAGTTTCTCTGATTACTTTTTGATACTAAATTTATATATTGTTATAAACCTCCAGATAAAAATACGACTATATATATATTTTAGAATACACCATAAAAAAAGACATTCAACAACCAAAATTACATATCTTAACTTTTCACAAAAATAGAGTTAGCTTTAAAAAATAATAATGTCTTTAATCATAAAGTTTGCTTTGTGTCCACAAGGAAAGTCTAATATGTAGGTTTAAGTTAAAGCTTCCCTGAAAAAAAACAAACATATTTGCTAATAAAGGAATGAAAACTTTTGAGGCTCATAATTATTTGGTTAGCCTGAAATTATCAAATGTCCAGTGTTATTCCCTTACGTTTCATCCAGCATAAGAATCACTCCCACTCTCATCCCTCTTACAGTTACATCGATAAAGTACTTTAACACTGGAATACTGATGCAAATGTCAGACTTAGATATACTGGGTATAATTTCTATGCTACTTTTAATCAGGATCTTGGACTCAGAAGAGTTACTTAAAGACATAATCTTTAATACTTTATTTAAATGTATGATACTTTATATATATATGTATCAATGGGTATGTGAATCATATTTTACAGATGTGATCCTTGTTTCTTCATAAAATGTTTTGTAATATTACATTTTAGAGAAGTTTGTAAGCTGTGAACACAAACTTGTCAACTTGTTATTAATACTAAAAATAGGCTTAATATTTGAAGACATATCACTTAAAAAACTACAAACAGTAATAAACTAATATTAAAAACTAATTACATGAATAGACTAACTTTATAACTTCAGTGATATGATTTTGAAACACTAACAATATACTTTTTCTTTCCTAGTTAACTTAATGCAAAACATTTGTGGTTTTTGGATACTTTTGTAGAATGTAATAAATACTATAACTTATAAGTATAAATTTCTAATGACCAACACAAATCATAAGTCCAAGACTTAAGCCAATGTGTAAATTTATAAAGTTAATTTGAAAGTTCCTTTTTTTTTAAGAAGTCAAATAAATTTGCTAAGAATGAGCTAACTAAAAATTAAATACAGCAAAAAGCATTGTAAATTGTAATGAAATTGTATTCTTGTATATGTAAATAAATTTTTGAAATGCTATTAATAAACCACTTATTACTAATATTTCATATTAATAATAATAATAAGCAAAAACTAAAAAAAATATTACTATATTATTATCATAGTAATTAGTATACTATACTCGAATAACTGTTGTTCTACAAGCCTTGAGTAGAAACAATTCAGATAAAATTAAAACTTCGGTCATAAATACGTCTAATTGTAAACTCTATTCTGTGCAACGTTTCTATACAACACACTACAGTGTTTACTGCCTAATCATGGGCGGCTAGCCGATACGTCGCAGGTTTTTTACTTATCTACTTAGCCGTCTTATATTCGAGTATACTAAAACTAAAATAGTAATATTATTAATATTGTTATACTGTACAAAAAACTCGTAGTTCAACTGTTAATACTAATAAGTGTAATAGTAATACTGAATAAAACTAAGTAAAAGTAAACGTTTATTCCCGAATCCTATTAATGTTATCCCAAGCTATTTGTTTTGGTTCTTCATTATGAAATATTGGAAATATTATCTAATTTTCTGAAAGCGTAAAAACTAGAACCAAAACCAAGCAGATATTATTGAAAATAAAACTAAGTACCAAAATCGCGGCTCTAACTTTAACTTAGTGTCAGTATCAGTTCAGCCATAGTTAAGAATATCGTAGAGACCGCTAGCTGCTGTTTTTACTTTGTCATCGAAAAAAATATTCAAATTTCCTAAAAACAATGATCTATACACTGGTTTCAACTGGCAACAATTTAGCATAACAAAATGTTTTGGGACAACATGGGACCTGTTGGTCCATTTCGGTTGTTCCATTCTCTAAACCAGAATATTTTTAATTCTTAAGGCCAGCTCTTATCATTCATATAATTATCAAGCTTTTTCTTAAACTCACGTAAATTTACTGCCTCTACAATATCTGAAGGCAACCCATACCAAAGGCCAACCACCCTGTTAGAAAAATGAAACTTTTTAGCCGAAGATGACTCCTACCTTGCCAAAATTTATATTTGTGTTCCATAATCCTACTATTCTCACTGTTAAATATAAAAAAAAGATGATGCATGAACACTATCAGTTTCCTTTATAGTTTTAAACATCTCAATCAGATCCCCCCATAATTTTTCTTTTTTTCAAGAGAAAACAGTTTGAGAGATTTCAGCCTCTCCTCGAATGACAACCCCTCTGTCCCAGGCACCATTCTAGTAACCCTTCTCTAAACCCTTTCCAACAATTCAATGTCTTTCCAAAGGTAAGAAGCATAAGACTGAACCCAATACTCCAAATGTGGCCTAACCAGTGACCTATACAATGACATAATAACCTCTTTAGACTTGTATTCAATATTTCTGTAAATACAACCTAAAATCCTATTTGCCCTACCACTAGCAATAGCACACTGCTTGGATGGCTTTAGAGACTGATTGTCTATTACACCAAGATCCCTTTCCTTCATAAAACTATTAAAGTTATTCTCATCCAAATTACACTTATAATTCAAATTATGATAACATACATGCATTATCTAGCATTTATTATAATTAAAACCCATCTTCTATTTATTTGTCCAACTCACTAAATGATTTAAATCCTTTTGTAAATCAGCAGCATCCTCTTCACAACTAGCAACACCCAAGACTTTAATATCATCTGCAAATTTTACATTCACTACATTTGATTTTGATTTTGTGAACACTTTTAGTTTTATTTCATCAACAAGTTAGTGTTAATTAATTATGGCTCTTGTTCTAAAATTTTTAATAATTGTGTTATTATTCGCAGATCTTTATCATATGTTCCACTATTTTTAAACTAGTAAAAGTGGAGCAAAATATATATATGCAAGAAAATACATTAACCGAATAATGTCAAATGTATTAAAATACCTAAAACATACAATAAATAAACAAAGAAAATGTTGCAGAAGAGAGAAAATGTAGCCTTAAATATTCTTTAATACAGTAACTGAAGTTTCTTTTAAATGACCCATCTGGACCATTTTGTAAATCTCTTGGTGATTTTCAACTTCAACAAAGAACGAATATGATTCAGGCAAAGTCAGTGAAAATACTTATATCTGCTATAACTATATATATGTGTGTAAAACACTCAAAAAACTATTTTTATAATTTTTACGTTTATACAGAAGTTTAGTATTGTTACGACAGCGGAAGTCATGTGATGCTAGTAACACATCATGAGCTTCTAGAAAATTCATGTCCGTTCGTGAAGACTTGAGTGTTTACTAGATGTGCGGTATTCTTGTATATAAGACCGCCAAGAAGTGACGGCAACAATGAAATTGAATTGCAGACAGAGATAGAGACGGACAATTGAGTCAAGCGCGTGAATCGTTCGTTGTGAATTATAGCGTTTGTTTAAGTTATAGCATGAATGTGGAAATTAAGTGTATTGCAAAGTTGTATTAAGAAAGAATAAACTAGTTTTATTTAAGAAAGGACTTCTATCGCTAAAGTTTCTTTGGAAAGAATTTCTACGGGAAACTAACAAACGAACACAGAGGCGTAACAGTATGATACATCAAAACGAATTTACAGACTCACTAAGTTCTAACAGTCTCTATCGCTACATACGGTCAGGCTCTATCTCTATCATGTTCTATCAAAAATTTGATCACACAGAAATCCATAGGCTCTACATCTGTCAACTATTACGTCTTGTTATGGAATATCATGACTACCTGCTTCATTTTCCAGCTGCTTTAGGTATGTGACTGTTGAACTGATACGTCATGAACGAAACTTGTGTCACTTTTCCAGACACAGAGCTTTCATGGGTATTATTCTGTCTACTGTATCTGAATGACTTTTACCACTTTGCATTTATGAATTTGCAACTGGTACAAGATACCACGGCTGAAAAATAACTTCTTGCAGATCTCTTTCTGGATGGTTCCTTCTTTTACAATGCCATTAAGTATAACAGATATCTCCATTCCGAAAAGACTAAATTCCTGATCTAAACACATTTTTATGATCTGAGTGTAAAAATCTTCTGCTTCAGAAGGGTTTGTTTGAGTTTCGCGCAAAGCTACACGAGGGCTAACTACGCTAGTCACCCCTAATTTAGCAGTGAGGGAAGGCAGTTAGTCATCACAACCCACCGCCACGTCTTTAGCTACTATTTTACCAACGAAAAGTGGGATTGACTGTAATATTATAACGCCCCACACAGCTAAGATTGCGAGTCAAGCGCCCTAACCACCTGACCATGCCGGGCAACTTCAGAAAGGAATTTTACATTCCCTTCCTAAAAGCAATCAATCTCGTTGGTATCACACTACCTACAAAATTCCAAACAACGTTAGAATGTAGTTCTGGTACATGGCATTCCACTTTTTTTGGCTGTGGTTGTGACGTGACTCGCTGATTTACATGTTCAAAATTGTTTGAATATAACCGACTTAACCCTCTGTATCTTCTTGTGCCATTTTAATAATTTTTTCTATTTTGATAGCTTACATTAATTAAGTTCCAAATTGTAGTTATGAAGGAATGAATTATTTAGCTCACTTATTTTCTGACAAGTAATTCTACTTTCCATAGCCAATTGAGATCGTCACAGGATGAAGAAACGAAGTCTCCAGAAAAACTTTTGTTCGCTTATCTGTTGTTAAACACAAAAGTACTCAAAAGGTTATCTGTACTGTGTCCACCACGGGTATCGAAACAAGGTTTTTAGCGTTATAAGCCTTCACACTCTGGGTCACTTGGATAGGGGCATCACTAGAAAAGAAACAATCACATTCAACTGTTGAATTAATGCCTTAATTTTTGTGAAATGTTCGGTCGCTTGGTCGTATTAGGACAATTTATATGTTTGAACATAATTCCGGTCTATTATAACATTGCCCAATGGAACTGGTTGAATGATTTTTAATTAATTATTTAAGAAGTAATGCCGATTGAAGAGTACATATTTCTAAACTCAAAGAGATATAAATACAATAGATACATCTCACAATAACTTTGTCATGACTTCGTACAGAACACAACAACACGAAAATTTTGAAAAATACCTGAATTTCCCTTACTAAAGAATATATTCTAAATTACTTATGAAGAGCAAAATTAACAGTAGTTTGAACGCTGTGACTGTTGCTACACAAACAACTGTAATGTAGTAAAAAAGCAGTACAAATATGGGCCATAAAATTTAACAGTTTCACATGTACCGTTATTGTCTTTATTGGCGAAACCATGGTCGTAGTTAATATAACATTTGTAAGACGTACGATTATTTTTGTTTTTCTAAATTCCGTAGCTTCACACGCAATATTGTCTGCTTGTGAAAATATAAAGTAAAGATTACTGTATTCATAATGACCGCATCAAGCAACTTTAAAAACACACATTTGATGTAATTTTTAAATCAACTTCTACATCGCAAAGATCGTAGGAGGTACAGAACACGAGATGACGCTAGTTATTGTTACACCGAAAGAGCCTAGTTTTTGTAGCAAAATGAACTTGAAAGTGAAACTGAAGTAGGAACTAAAATTAATTAAACGTAAGGCTATAGTAGTTTCAAAAAGTCTGAAGATGGCAATGAGTAGAGAGCTTTGTTGTTTTTTATGGCTTAGAAACACTGAATATAAGTTCATTGCAAGTATTTTCAAAAATTCAGGTCATGCATATTTCAAAAGTAGAACACCAGTTTGTGTTACAAGTCAGTTTCGACAGTTTAGGTTTGTTAAATTTTATGCTATTACTATTATTATTGAGGTATTTTTGTATAATATGTGATCAATGTTAATTTTTTTAAACTGTCATCTAAATATTGACCTATTAATGTCGTTACTGACATAAACTGCAGTAATGCGACAAAAATTCAAAAAGAGTGTGATACCTGAGTAAACGATAGACTCGTAGAGCAGTGTCGCTACCCGCTACCTAAATTAGTAATATTACAAACTTTGAAATAGAAATAAAATTGGCAAGAGCAAGATGTGTGTGTGTGGAGTTTGTTTTGAACCCCTGAATCAAAGTCTGATATTTTTAAACAGTTAGTTAAACGTACAGCTATAAAATGAATAATCTTTGGTTTGACTGGCTGTAAGAATATAATGAAGATACTGTGATTTTCACACACTGATGTTGATAATAGTTAATACAGTTATCTTTAAATACATAGGCTCAGTCAGATCAGTTGGACAAACGTGGGAGATGTCATTTAATTATGTAACTTATAAGATTATGCACATAACTTAGATGTGAATACTTTTAGTTATGTAAATAAAAATAAAAAAGTATCATTACCATTTGGAATTTGACAAATTGGCTGACATTCCAGTGAAAAACACTTGAACACAACAGGATATGATCTCCCCCTTTATTACATTAAAGATAAAATGACAATTTATTTATTAAACCTTCCTGTAGATTTATTAAATATGCAGGACAATTTACAAGTGCACACTTCATTTGATGTTATTAAACTATTTCTTACATGTAGATGCTATTTTATAAATTGTCATGTTGATTTATGAACTTACATAATTTATGAATCTATGAAGTGTTTTAATAAAATTAAAGGGAGATTATAAATTGTTATGTACATCTAATGAATCAAGTATTTTTCTCAACCAACTTGTCACCTCATGAATAGTAGTAAAATTTATAAACTAAGTATGCATTATATAAATTACATATATAATTTAGTTTAATTTTGTAGAATAAGTTTAAACTAGTGGACTTTGAAAAGTTAATTGAGGGAAAAACATAAAACCCACCACCCAATTTTTTTTTTAATAATCTGATTTAACATTTGAACAAAGGACTCATAATTTTTATAACTTAGATATTTTTTTATATCTGGATTACATCCATCACCTACATATTATGAACCTATGTCCTGCATCCGTAGTGTGGGAATGATAAGCTCAGTGTACTGCATATTACTAACACTTGTTTGTAGATAATTTAATGTACAGTGTAAAACCATTTATTATAATAATAATATTGGAGTTAAGTAATACAGTATGTCCAACAAAATGTTAAGCGTATGGAAGAATGACCTTGCAATTTGGGTCTTTTTAAGCACCTCCATAAACTTAAATCATGAAACAGTCTTCCTGCACTGTTCCAGTGTATATTTATCTACCATTTTACTATACAGCATATGAAATGTAAACAACCCCATTAATCTTGTATTTAATGATAACATTAATATGTCTGACATAAGAAGCTTCCATTTTTCCTTTCCTAATGGCCAGTACAACTTATATGACTAACAGGATTATATTAATACAGGTGTAGCTAGGTTGGTTTTACCCTGATATACACATTAGATTAATGTGACACACTAATTCAAACATACAAACCTACATTAAAAATTTTAGCTGAATGTGACCCAGCAATTCAAAAATGCTACACTTGTTATGAACATTATCAGAATGTAACATGTTGACTCAAAAATACTACACTGACATATGTATTAACAAATCAAAAATATTACTCATGACATGCACATTATATGAATGTGACACGGTGACTCGGAAAATATTACCTAAAAACCAACCACAAACCAGAAAAAACATATCATAGAATGCTAAGAAAAGAAAAACATTTTAAATCCAGCTTTAAGTGATACGTGTGAATGGTAAAGAGAAGTGCACGTATGTCTAATCAACGTGCAACAGCAACAAAAAATAAGTATTAGTGATGTTTTGTGTTTTAGTAGACAAAATGTAACTTGTATAAATCCGCCACTTTTACGATTTCAAAAGCTGTATATATGGTATCATAATGTTTAGAGCTTGTAAAATATTTTCTGCTAAATTATTGAATGGGATTTAGACCCATTTTATTTCAGTCTTTTTTGTTAGCAGCGGCAAATATTTTCCTGCTTCTAGCTTTCTCCTAACCGGGCAGTTATTTGAAATCTATCCGAATAAAGATACACTTATCTATAAAGAGGTTTATTTTTAAGATGTTTAATTCAAAGTCAAATGTAACTTGTTAAAAGCAAGAAAATAAAAATTGATTGGATATTAAAATAGAAAATTAATTTTTGTATAGTAATAAGGTGGAATGTTAGCATTGGTTAATTTTGTTTAGCTAATTATAATTATTTTTAAAGTTTATCTTTCATTTTGTTTTTACTACTAATTTTATGTAGTCTAAGAAGTATTAGTAATTTAAACTAAACTGAAAGCTAGTTAAATTCATTTTTAACTTTTGATTGCCATGTAATTGTTTGTAGCATTAATCATATATAACTATGGATACACTGTATGCTATCCTAGTTAAAACTACAATTGCTAAAGATTATATTTCAACATTATTATTATACATAAAATACACTTTTTTTGTTCCTGGGTTAGGTCATGGAAGTCTGTAAGCAAGGCTTAGTTGTACTTGTTTGGGTTGTTTTGTTTCATGACTCTGACATGCACTTTAACCGATACTTTAAACTAATGTTATGTATTTCATGATTTTAGGGCATTTAAGTGAAAAAAAAAACAGAACTTACAAATAGGATTTTATCTTCTACAGCAGGGAAGATGGAAGACATGGTGGACCGAAGATCTATACAAGAACTGGCGATGGAGGTTTGTTTGGGAAATTTGCTTTTCTGAACTATTTCGTGTATTTGTTTTTAAATAAAGATGGACATTGAAAATAAAAACAGAAAAAAGTTTGAAGATACTGAAATTGTTCTAACTTATGGGAAAAATTAAAACTTTTTTTCAGTTAGTTGAAAATAATATATTTTGGCCTTCATTTGATGGGATCATTTACAAAAGGTGGCATCTCTATTTTATAGTTATATCATTGAAATTATAAGATGAAAAAAATTTTAAAAGTACGAGTTAAAGCTTTTGACAAAAATCACAATCTTTATGATAACTAATGTTTAGCTTAATTAATATTTGCAGCTGTACACAAAATGAAAAATTACAAATTCTACTGAAGAAACACAGTTGCTGTAATAAATAGCTAAAAACGAAAATAACTGAATTTTCAATCTAAGGAAAGATGCTTGATTAAAAAAAACTATTTTCCTTCTCGGGTAAGAATAAACTTTATGTTATTTTACACCAGGGTTTTGTATCATTTTAGGGAAATCCTATCTATTTACTGGAGAACGCAGACCTAAAGATGATATGGTTTTTGAAGCATTGGGTTCAACAGATGAATTGTCTTGTAACATTGGCTTAGCGAGAGTAATAGTAAAAGGACTTACGGACCAATTAGATGTCGAACTAGAAAAAGTAATTGTAAAAAGTTTCTACTCATTTTGTACAGCTTTGAAATCCACAAAAAAAATGTTTAAAACCTATTTAGTAATATTTGTTGCATTTATTTCCTGACCATTTTGTGATGTTGAAGAAGTTTTAAGAGTATGGTTAATTGTATACTACTTGATGTGCACTGATAGTTAACTTATTAAGTCTAGCATGATAAATCACATAAGAATATTTAAGCTTTAAAGAAGTTTTGAGAATCGTGTTTGTTTTCTTTCATTATGAAAGAGAGTTAACCATAGTTTTATCATGTTTTTATGAGATGTTTCATATATATATACAAGCTGAAATACCTGTCAACCAATGGGGAATGCTTAAACTTAATTAAAACAATGTAAGTTTAACAGCAATCGTATATTTCAAAGTAATAACTTGAACATAAACTTTATCTCAAAATATTAAAAC